GTGGCCACTGGCTGGATGTCGTAGTAGGTGAAAAGGGTCTCCATGGCCATCACAAACCATGTAAAACCCAAAGTCTCCAGAATATTTCCAGCTGACTTGCGCTTATCAAATATCAGGCTGGAAACACCAACGATTTGTGTAGGAGACTTTTCCAGAACATGGGGGATTTCACAAACTTGGCTGCATGAGGCACAAGTTTCCTGGAATTCCGGCCTTCTTGTTCTGGGATGCCCCACCTCCTCATAGGCCTCCTTGTCCTCTCACACACCTGGCCTCTCAGGGAAAAGACACTTTCTCGATGGTCTCTCCAGCCACAGGGCATCTGTGCTCCTCGGCTCTTCGGTTTCCTCTGCACATTTTTGGGAGTTATATGACACTCAGTGGCGAGCGATGCTGGCAGCCTAAGAAATATAAAGTTCAGAGCCTGAGGCCACTTTGGTCTTTCTGAAGCTCCATTTCATCTAGGCTAGAGGTGAATGCTTCCCTCTGGAGACCCCAGCGGGCGGGGGCTGTAGCAAAGTTCAAAGAACAGTCGTTTCCACCATGGCTGGGTGTTTGGCACACACAGCCTGATGACACACTAAAAGAGCCTGGGACCAGTGGGCGGGGCAAGAAAGGCTAAAGGAGTGGCCTGAGGGGAGAGGCAGTGCCCCTGGATTCCTGGCTCTCTCCTAATGATGGCTTACAGCTGCGTCATTAACCCTCCAAACGCTGTCACTGTAGACCTACAGTTACCAGACGCCAAATGTAATTAAGATCTAACTGTTTGCAGTTAACTTTCCTCACAGAGGTCTGCAAGGCCTCCATTCCAGACCCCCTCATTTTCAGAGAGAAGCCAAGAGGATGCGGAGGGCCTGAGAGAGACCTCAAGAGCTCCGAACTCTTCAGATTTAGAAGTAAAAAGATGAAGGGGAAAAAAGGCATAGGTTGCATTTTATAACCTTAAAAGTAACTTGTGGACATAGAGGACAAGTTTTAAAAAACACAACGAAGCAGATAAATAAAATAGAAGCGGTCCCAATTCATTATGGACTACTGACTGAAGTCCAAATACCCTTTCTGATTCTGAAAATCTCCTTACATTTGTACCTTCAAAATAAAGCAGTGAGCCAGCTGGCTCAGCAGGTAAAGGTGCTTGTTGTCAAGACTGGTGGCCGAGTTCAATTGATTCCTAGTATTTTCATGGTAATAGGAGATAACAGATATCTGTATATTGTCCTCTGACCAACACACACACACAGAGGCATGCACATACGCATGTAAAGAAATGTAAACTAATTTTTTTTGAGAAAAGAGATTTTAAGGAAAGGGATTTTTAGTATCATGACTTTATAAGATTTCATAGTTCTAAGATCTTAATATCTCAGGTAAATTTGATATAGTTATCAATGAAAAATAAAACCAAATTGTGAGTGGGGAGGTTCCTTGGTTCATAGAGCACTTGCCGTGCCAACCCAAGGACTTGAGTTTGGATCTCCAGCATCTAGAATCCCATTGCTTGGGAGATGGAGGGAGGAGGATAAGGAGGAAGGCCTTGCTGGTCAATCAGTGAGCTCCAGATTCAATGAGAGATGCTGTTTCAAAACTTAGAGAAGGGACTGAGGGAGACACTTGATGTCAGCCTCTGTCCTTGACATACATGTGTACCCGTGTGCATGCACACATGAACATATATGCGCTCATGTATACTGCTTTCTCCGTAAATCAATACACAAATACTTGAAGGCCTACTTGTGAAAGGCCATCTAGGGAACTTAGTGCTAAAGCAAGAGAAGAGCGGGGATATTATATCAAGATAAATAAAAAAATGAGCCAGGATAGAACGCAGTCAATAGTGTTTGCTATGCATTAGGACCTGAGTTCGGTGCCGATCACTCATGTAAAAAAAAGCAGGTATGAGCCAGGCAGTAGCAGCACACACCTTTAATCCCAGCACTCGGGAGGCAGAGGCAGATGGATATCTATGAGTTCAAGACCACTCTGGTCTACAGAGTGAGTTCTAGGACATCCAGGGCTATACAAAGAAACCCTATCTCAGAAAACCAAACCAACAAACCAACCAACCAACCAACCAAACAAAGCCAGGTAAGATCCTGTGTGGCTACAAGGATACTCGTGCAGACAGAAAGATGCATGGATCCCTGGAGCTTGTTGGTGAGCCAGTTTAGCCTAGTCGGCAAACCCCAACTCCCAGTAAGAGACCCTGACTTAGAAGACCAAGGCGATAGCTACTGAGAGATGACAATAATACACATAATACACCTGCACCCATGTGTACACACACACAAAATATAAAAAGAACTGAGCATATACTCAGAGGAAGAGCATTTGCCTAGTATGTAAGCCCCTGGATACAATCCCCAGAACCACCAAAATAAAAGGACATTTAAGTTTGAGGAAACTAGAGAACTAGACTGCTTAGGGCAAAGAGAAGCTAATGGCCAAAGTCACATTGAATAAAGGACAAAAGAAACAAGAATGAGCAAAAGTCATTAGGTTTGACAACACAGGGGAAAGACAGTGGGTAGCATGGTAGGGAGGCAGCAGTGCTTGGTAGACCCACATTATGATTGTATGGAAATGGAAAAAGAGCGTAATAAACTTTCGAGTAGGCAGCAGAGTCTAGCGATAGGAACTCTGCATATACTAAAGAATTGAACTCAGTCATCAGGCTTGATTCCGTAAAATATTTCCTTCGAGAGCTAGCCAGCTGATAGCCTTCGATCATGCTTCGTATATATAAGGGCCTTTCTCCGAAGAACTTGAAATTGCTCAGCAAATGTTCATTAATTCTCCTCACCCGGATCCTCTAGAGGACAGTTGGTGGCGGATATTATGTTTACAGGCATGAAGACTGTTGAAGGATGAAAGTGATACTGTCAGGTAAAGTCCCCAGGTGTCTGCAGTTGGGAGATAGATACCTGGCCCTCCCCTCCACAACTGGTCCAGTCCCAAATCACCCACAGCTTGCTGTCAGCCCTCCTCTCCCTGATGTTTCTGTCCATCTGAGATTCTGGCATCTACTATAGGATTGGATGCTTCAGCAGGTAGCCGCAGGATCACGGCAGAGGGGTCCTGGAGCCAGCGGTGGGTCTTTCCTATGTTGGGTGCTGGACTACAAAGGAACCCTGAGAGATTCTTTCTGATTATTTATTTACTTGATTTTCTTTTTTGAGACAAGGTTGCTGGCCTCAAACTCAGAGATCTGCCTGCCTCTGTCTCACAAGTTCTGGGATTAAAGATGTGTGCCACCACTGTCCAGCTCTGATTATTTATTTATCAGAAGCAGATGCCAAAGTCAAGGATTAACCCAATATCAAGCCCAAGAAAACAGGCAATTGCTCAGATTGTGATCTGTGGGACCCCTTTCATAAGAACCCCTCCAGAACTGTTCAGTAATATCCCAGTCCTTATACTCTGGGCTGTGCATGACTCAACCATGCTCAGAAGTCAGACTCCTAATGGCAGAGAATATCAGGGCAATCCACTAAGAAGATGACTGAAAGACCAAGGAGAGGGCTTAGTCCATAAAGGTTTTGCTTTGTAATCATTAAGACCTGAGTTTGATCCTCAGTACTGAAAAAAAATTCAGGTGTGGTAGTCCATCCTTGTAGTCCCAGTACTGGGGAGGCAGAGATAGGTGGATACCTGGGGTTTGCTGCCCAGCCAGTTTAGACTAATTGATAGGCTTCAGGTCAGTGAGAAACCCTGTCTCAAAATAAAGTGGATAGTATTCCCGAGGCTATCCTCTGGCCTCCATATACACCATGTTGCATATGCACATGCATCTGAAAACACACGTATACCTGCACATTAATGTAATTACACACACGCATATGCACGCACGCATGCATACACACACACGTGCACACACACACACACATGAAACATGGGAAAGATGAAGACAAAGAAGGATATAATTGGTCACTCTGATGTTGAGTGTGGGCTTTACCAGGCCAAGGAGGGAAGGGAATGTCAAAGGTTCCTACAGTTGTGGAGTTGTGCAGAGCCTCTGTTGTGTCTGCAAAAGGTGCCTGATGTAATGTCACAAACTCTTCCCAGGTCTTGCTGAGCTTAGCTAGGGAGGACTAGCTCTTTTAGGGTAGGATAAGCAGTTCACGTTCTCAGCCTAGGACTTATGAAATTCAACAAGGCCACTGGCACATTGGCACTAAGAGAAGCAGCCCAGGGAGCCCTATCAGCCTCTTTTGAGTCTTTGCTTGTCAATGCAAAAATCCTTCAAAGTTACCTGCAGCCAATAACATAGCCAGAAGACAGGCTTTAATGTGCGGCTCCTAACCACCTTGGCTTTCCACGTTGGTCTTCTGCACCCTGTAGAACAAGGATGCTCCACAAAGAGACAAGGGATATGTCAGCAGGCAACACTTTTTATTCAGGTTTCTGTGGAGAAATATCGGCTGTTTGGTCATGAGTCAGCAAAAAATATAACTTGTTCCGAGGGCAGAATGATTAGTGTTGTCTCAGTTAGGGTTTCTACTGCTATGAAGAGACACCATGACCATGGCAACTCTTATAAAAAACAAAACAAAACAAAAAACATTTAATTGGGGTGGCTCACATTTTCAGAGGATAATTTTAGTCTCTTATCATCATGGTGAGACATGGTGGCAGGCAGACATGGTGCTGAAGAAGGAATCAAATGTCCTACATCTTTTTGTAGACACTAGGAAGTGGTCTAAGACACTGGGAGGTATCTTCAGCATATATGAGACCTCAAAGCCCGCCTCCACAGTGACACACTTCCTCCAACAAGACCACACCTACTCTAACAAGCCACACCTCCTAACAGTACCACTCCCTTTAGGGGACATTTTCTTTCAAACCACCACAGGTGTTAACTGAGTGGGAAGTTCCCAGAAAGTCCCAACATTCTGTATGTCAGGGTCTGGGGTCTGTAGGCTGAGACCTACTCTCTGGGCAACCCTGGAAGGGAAAGATGATAAGAGGTAGTTTTGTTTTTGTTTTGTTTTTCGACACAGGGCTTTTTCTGTGTAACAGCCTGCTGTCCTGGAACTCACTCTGTAGATCAGGCTGGCCTTGAACTCACAGAGACCCAGCACTGGGATTAAAGGTGTGTGCCACCACTGGCTGGCAAGAAGCAGTTTTAATGAAGATTGTCATGGAGTTTCAGATTTCTTTGTTTTTAACTGTCTCTATTCGGCTGCTTACACTCAAGGTGCAGTGGATCAGTTCCAGAATGGGCAATCACAGCACAGACCCACCTCACCATCTGGGCGGTCACAAGCTAGAAGAACATCTCCATAGGATGAAGAAGAATGGTGCCAGGCACAAGTTTAATGGTCTAAAGGCAGGGTGTGGGAAGAGAACTCCTCTTACCTTGTCTTTCCTCTTTTCACTTGAAGCGGGTGGGATTAAGTCCTCCGGTGCTGGAGTCTGATTGTTTTAGTGTGTAGCCTGGAAGAGTCCCCTCAGTCTCCTGGCCCTGTGGCTCCTCTACAGTGCTGAAGTGAACAGGTTTCCCAAATAGAGTGGGACCAGCTTGTTTCTCCCTTTGCCTGGACCTGGGAAATAGCATGCTAACCTCGTTTGGGCGTTAAGGAGATAGGTCACCCTAGACTTTGTTAGAACAGCACCCAGCATATAGCAAGTTCTGTAAGGTGGGGCCCCCCCGCCCCCCTCTTCTCCCTTTTTCTCCTCTCCTCTTGCACCGAGGGATGGTTAGATGTGGACATCTGCCCACTCGGCTATAACCCCTGGCAGTCTCAGTGTGTTCGAGGAGTGTGGGAATTGGGCACTGGCCTGTGTCCTGCAGCGGGGCCATAAAACAGCGGCAAAGGGAGCCGCTGGTGCAGATAGGCCTGGAGATGAAAGGCGGTGCGTTTTCCTTTCCAAAGTGCGGCTGTGTTCCTGAAGGCCTGCAGCTTCCTCTGCCCTGCTGACTTTTCTCTCTCTCTCTTCCCAGCTCCCCTCGGTGATATCTTAAGAGGCAAACTTCCAGCACTAACAAGAGGTCTTTTGTTCTCTTTTTTTCTCAAAGTGGACTTTAACCTAGTTACTACAGACTGAGTCACTGTGCAAACAAACAAATAATAAGACTTGGTTTTCTTAAAGGCCCTTCCATTGCTGTTGACAAAAAAGGGGGAACCTGACACTTTCTTGGGGGCCTATGGGGCTCTTATTCACCCCAACCTTTTAGAGAATCAGCCTTGGAGAAGCTTCCAGAACATGCAGGAGCCTGGCACTATGGCTTGCTTAGACTTCCATCTATTGGGGTGGTCCGTGAACTGTGATGAATTTAGGGTCTCAGCACAGTCTTGGTAGGTTTATCCCAGACTGAGGAGAACTTGATACACTCCTGGGCTGGGCTCAGTTCTGGACTAGCCTCCCTTGTTCACACTTTAGATTCTTTATATGTAACACTAGGGTATAAAGACGTCTGGTCTTATCGGGAAAGTCTTTGCAATTGACCCTGCTCTGTTAGAAGACCAGGGCAAAGTAAAGGGCTGTTTATGGCAGCCTCAGTCCAGTCAACAACAGCTTTATGGGCCCTCAGGAATGGGGTGGGTGTCAGATGAGAAAGACTCACTTCCGGCCTTCTGAAAGACACACAGGTAAGTAGGCAAATGCAGTCTTCTCATGAGGATAAGATGGTTTTGTGCCAAGAGAAGGGAATGTCTATTCCTCTGGGGAGTGCATTGAAGTTTTCCCAGAGGACATGGTGTTTGAGCGAAGATGTTCAGGGGAAGCTACGGTGTTTATGACAGGCAGAAGGAACAAGGGGAAGAGTCCATGCCAAGACTGGACCCATCATAGTACAAACTTCCTTTAATATTTCTTCAATAATTTTTGCTTAATTATTTAAGTAGACCTGGACCTTCTCTTTTGCAAGGAGAGAAGTCTCTGGAAGAGCATTGCTACTGGCTTTGGAACTCTGTGCCAAAATGTTTTACTACATCAAACATTAAGACACGCTTTAGGCCTCTAGCCCACTGGACATACTGCCCAAGGGCAGAGCCAGGGTTTCCAGTGAATGGAATTCACATTCCCTAAGAGCTTGTCACCCTCTGTGTTTTTAGCTCCCCAGAGCTCAAGGGCATTGTGCAACACACTCACGCCTACCATGAAAAGGCAGTTCAGGTGTTTGGAAAACTCTGGCTCACATTGTCCCAATGTCTAAGTCTCCCTTTTGTGCACCTTCCCCAGAATCCGTGGGTGGATTAATGGTCTTCCTTTTTCTACGGCTCATTCTTTGCACTGCGATTTAAGCCCCATTCTTGAACACCCCTGCTCCTGGACTGTGAACTCCCTAGATGGGGATTATACAAATGTACTATTTTTAGGGGGGGGGGGATTGTTAGTTTGTTTGAGACAGGGTCTCACAATATAGCTCTGGATGTCATGAAACTCATTATGTAGACCAGGCTGGCCTCAAACTCACAGAGATCCACCTGCCTCTGCCTCCTGAGTGCTGGGATTAAAGGCGTGCACCACTATACCTGGTTAGCACTTTTGAATGGTCGATCTTTCCTAATATTTGTCTCATAGACACAAAAGGTGATCAAGGGATATTTATTAAGTGGACACATACTTAGGAGAATGTTGGTTGAGTGGGTGTATTTTGTCCAATCTGACAAATAGCATCAACAGGATGATCATGGATGATAAAATGGCCAGGCCTAAGAATCCCCAAAAGGTCCCAGCCTGTGTAGAAAGAGATTTCTTCTTCCAAGAAGCTGCTTGCGCTCGATCATTTAGATTTAAAATCTGACTGCTTCGACCATGGGAATCCAAGGCAAAGAAACTTGCTGTTTTTCAAGCTGATTTCTTCGCTTTAGTGAACCCCAGCATCACTAAAGAAGTCAGCATCAGGCCACCCCTCTGGGTGCAGACCATAGTCTCCTTGCGTAGTCCCGACCTAACCAGTCGCTTTCTGTGCTGGGGGATACCAGCCTTGGTCTTGGCCTGCCTTTCCTGGATTGGCTCCGAGAGGATGAGTCAACAGTTCCAGACAAACTCGCTCTCCCTGACAGTAGCTGGTTGATTTCTTCTGAGAAAATGGAAACCTTGGTCTTCTGATGTGTGCAGTGACAGACACAAGAGGAATTTTCCAATACAACCAGGGAGTGGATTTTCCAAGGCCAGGCTGACCAAGGAAAGCCTTCATTTGCCCGTGCTCCAGAATTAGGTAATGTGGCACCCCCTGGAGTAGAAGAGGTGGCTGGCTACACCAGGAGGAACGCTGTGCTCCCTCCTCTTTCTGGCCTGCCTGGTGATCTGCCACCAATGGGATTAGTGGCTCCGAGACAGCTGGGTCATCTCAGTGCCATTTCCCTGCGGTGAGAAGAGACATGATGTTGTTTCTGTTTGGGAAGGAGGTGGCGGTGAAGAGCAGCTGAAAGCTAGATGACTCTCTAGAATCTGTGACAGAAATGCTATGCACAGGGCCTATCCAGGCTGCAGCCGATTTCACAGCGGCCCAACTGTGCCCCTCCATGAACTCATTCATTATTCCATATGCTTACCGGGCTCCACTCTACGGCTAACCCTGTCCTATGAACTGGACAAACAAAGCTCTGAATTGTTCCCTGCCCTGGTTGGTTCTACTTCCCTTCATCATCCTCTGTAAGAGAAGGGCCATTGTTTTCCTCAGCCCCTTTCTTTCTCACAGCCATGGCAGATAATTTTTTTTTTCCAAAGGTCTCCAGGAATAGATGCATGAAAAGACCCGGGAGAAGGGATGAATCACACTCGCATTTGAAAACCCACCGAGGAGCTGTCAGGGTTTGCAATTGTCCTCTTCGAACCCTGGAAATACACTTAAGACGCCTTGGAGAGGCTCATTACTGGCTGGGAGAAAGCATGGCTTGGGTCTGATGAATTCCCAATGTCAGGTGGAATTCTCAAAGCCTTCCAGGGCTCGTACCATAGCAGAACGTCCACCTGAGTAAGGCCGAAGATGTTGGCGCAGTGTCCATAACGGGAAGGGGCTGGGGAATCCAAGGAAAGACGTGGGATAAAAAGCAGGGGACACATCTGCGAGCCCCTCTCATCATCTTTCTTTAATGATCCCCCTCCGCCGATTTTGGAAAAGACGTGCTTATGGAAAAAACTGGAAAAGTAGAGCTAACGCCTCAAAAGAAATAAACGCAAAGCAGAAACCTATTACCCAGAGACAGCGCTCTGACCATTTTCGATGGATTTTGTAGTTCAAAAAAAAAAATGTGTATGATGCTTTCCTTAAAAACTGTTCCGTTTTGTGCAGGGTACTTCATAATCCACTCCCCCCTTTAATGATACGTTATGTGAACATTTTCCCACCGGGCTGAGCTTTTCTTCTAATACAATTTTAATGACTACCTAGTATTCCATCTCGCAGATGTTTAATTTAACTAACACCATATACTTGTGTCTGTTTTTAGTTTGTGTATCTTATTCTCTGCCACCATAAATTACACGATGTTGACACTGGGGAGACCGACTCAGGCTGCTCTATTGTTCTGGTCATAAGTCACTTATTTCTTCCTCAAAAGCCACTGGGCTCTGTGGAGGTCAGAGACCCTTCACAGCCCTTTCTCAGAACTGAAGGAGAAATTTAATCTATTCAGGCTAGACGCAGCCAGAATGTGTGTTTATAAACCCACAGAAACACCCACTGATGTAAAAGGACAGTGGACTCAATTCAGCACAACCCTATTCATAGATGTGTTAGTTCGGACAGGACTGCTCCCCTTGACTGATCTCCTCAAGCCCTGGCCGTCTTTTCGGCACGAAACACAAACTCAGTATTAGGTAGCAATGGAAGATAAATGCCCAGTACAAGATCCAGTTATAGAAGCAGCTGGAAGGATGGGGTGCAAAATGAAGCCGTTTTCATGTTTAAGATTTTCAGTGTCTCTTCTGCTCCATCCGAGGAGATAATCAGAAGGGGCCTTGAATAAACAGGTCCAGGCTCCAAGCGTGCTCAGAAGTCATGGCTCACCCAAGCAGAGAAGGGAAGGCATAGGCTTCCAAAACTGGGTGAACTCACACCAGAGAATCTGGGGCAAAACCTAGGCTGTTGTTCTCCAGTGCAGCTCACCTGCAAGAAATCTAGCTGCATGTGGGATGAGTCTCAGGACACCTCCTGTTTTGGCATTTTTGATGGTTTGGCTCAGTGCAAGCCAGAGAAGTGTGCTCTCTAGTGGGACAAGGGCTGTGTGGGGAGGCATTAGAGGTCTCCTCCTGCTCTGTTGCCCTCTCCTTCCCAGCTCTATTCGCATCTTTAGCAAGATGCTGGATGAAACCACTAAGGAAGAAATTCTGCTTTGCAAGGTGCAATCCCCTTTGTCCCTTGCTGAGACATGGAAGCTTGTAGAAGAGATGGTGAGAGGAAGGCTTAATGGGGGGAACGACCCAAGGCGACTGGTACGGGAATGTATACGATGGCAGCGTGCAAAGGGGAGCAGGCAGCGTGCAAAGGGGAGCAGGCAGCGTGCAAAGGGGAGCAGGCGAAGAAGAAATGGTGGCGTGTGCACACATATCGTTCACTCACAGTTTAATGGAGCTCTGAGAGAGGAAACCATGGGCTCAACTGCTCATGGAAAGTCATGGGGCGGGCTCTCCAAGGCAAGTGGGGGAGGAGAGCCAGAGGATCACAAGCTTCCCTTTAGGCCAACATTTTTGTCTGGGCTCCAAACAGCCTTCTCTTCTCTGCGGCTCTCGTATGTCATCAGACACCCCTGCCCAGACTGACAGTCTCGTGTACACAAACCCAGCGCCCAAGCGAACCGTTCCTTTCCCAAGCTGCTGAGGGTCTTCTGGGGGTTGGGAAGGATCCATTCTGAGCAGATCCAGAGCTGGCCGAAGAGCTCAGCTGTCTCATCTCCCGGGAAAGATTTACTGTGCCTTCCGCAGCCCCACCCACCACCCCCAGCTTGTCTTCCAAGCCCGAGGCTGGGGTTGGGGAAGTTTACAGAGAGGCTGGGAACAGATCAATATTCCTGTCTTGAGTGACAAGAAGGAGCTGTTCAGATACAGAGGAAGCCTCTCTTCTTGCCCATAATTGGATGACGGTGATACTACAATCAAACCAGACCGGAGAAATTCCCATGTTCAACAGTCCAGGTGTGCAGGACCTCCCACTTGGCCTCCGGGGATGAAGAAGGGAGAGCCCGTGCCTGGCTGCCAAACACTGACACCCAGGATGTGAATTCCCTCCCTGCCCCATTAGATGTCCTCTTTCCCTCTCTACCGAGCCTCAGGGACACGCTCTGAGTTCTGCTATAGCTTTCTCTACTGCAGGGATGGGCTAACGTCTGTCTGCAGCTCTGCTTCTTCAGTATGGTGCCTTCAAAGCAAAGGAAGGTTGTTGCAGGCTTGAGAGCCACCTGGACAGCTAGCTGATGGTGGCACTGCTCTACTTGGGGACACTTGCTATTCTTACTTTATAGAGAAGGCTGTTGAGACCCAGGGAGGTTCAGAAACTTGCCCAAGGTCACAGATAAAGAATGGTGGAATGAGAATTTAAGTCTGGCAGCCTGGTTTTGCACTGTAGGTAGAAAAAAAAATGACCCCAGGCTTGTCAAACTTTACTGCTGGCTCAGCTCCGATCTTAGTTTGGTGACCAGATTTTATCTGACTCCTTCGCTGGAGACCACCTGGGGTCTCCATCTTCTCAGCTACCATCAGGTTGCCTGTTTTTACATACACCCCCATCTCTAGCCCACCACTATAACACCCCATCTCTAGCCCACCACTATAACACCCCATCTCTAGCCCACCACTATATATATCCCATCTCTAACCCACCACACACTTATCATGAAGGGTATTGTCAGGGTCCCACAAGATGACAGCAGCCTTCCTCAACTTTGAAGCCACACAAAACCCTAGTGAACTGCCTGGACAGGAAGTGTCCCAGTGTGCCTAGCTGCAGGAAATCAATGCTAACATGGTGAGCAACCTCATTTCTACAATGAGGTAGCAATAACAAATACAGAGGTTTTTGATGACTGGGTGAATCTATATAAGGCACTTAGGTAGGATTGTGTCTGGCACATTGCACATGCTTAGTAAGGGCCAGAAGTTCTTGGTATTGGTATAGACGTCCTCATCACCACGAAGGAGTCAGATAAAAGGCTCGCAGATAGGAGAGCCTTGTGGTGAAGACTCTGGGCTCTGGTCCGCCCTTCCACTGCTCAGTTGATCTAGATTTTGGTACTTGTGACTCGAAGATATTATTTGAGAAATAAATGAAATAATGTATGCCTATTATGGAAAAAGATCTCAATCAATGATTGTAACAAAGACTGATCTCTCTCTCTCTCTCTTTTTCTCTAATAGGGTCTCATTATATAGCCCTGACTGGACTAGAACTCACTAGGGAGACCATGCTGCTTTTGAATTTTGACACTCCTCCAGCCTCTGCCTCCCAAATTTTGGGATTAGAAGCATACCTGGTTAATATTTTTGTTATTTTTATTTTTTTTAAATATGGAACATTGCACAAATTTGCGTGTCATCCTTGCGCAGGGGCCATGCTAATCTTCTCTGTATCGTTCCAATTTTAGTATATGTGCTGCCGAAGCGAGCACATACCTGGTTAATTTTTGTCTTCCCCACTCCCTTTTTTTTAAAAAAAAAAAACAAACAAACCTTTTTGCAGTACTGAGGATTGAACTTAGGACCGTGCGCATAATAGATAAGCTTTCTACCTCTGGGGCTGCAATTTCTAGCCACAATGTTCATATTGTAAAACTGGGATATGTGTCTTTAAAGCATCTTAGGCCATTACGTACTTATCCTGTAACAAATTCACCCCCCCTCACTCTCTCTCTCTCTCTCTCTCTCTCTCTCTCTCTCTCACACACACACACACACACACACACACACACACACCCCTCTATACCTTCCTTCACATTGGCAGTACGATTGAGTCTGCCGTCCTTCTACAGGGCCTCCTGGTAACACAGAGCTTTAGTACTTGGCTCTTCCTTCACTCCGGACACTGAGGAACATGATCTGGTTATCATTTGTAAACTGGGGCCTTCAGAAGAAAAGGAAAGCTGCCCTTGGCCATCAGAACATTACTTGTCACCAGCGCCAGTGCCTGGCTTCACATGGTCCAGGCAGCAAGGCAGTGCTCAGGGCTCCACCCCTCCAGCAGGCTCCAGGGGTGACAAGAGGGAAGGCAAGTGATAGATGGGGGCATGCGGACAGCTGAGTCATCACTTCCTAGTCTGCTAACTCAGACCTGCAAGCCCTGTTGTCTCTACTGGGTCTCTAAAGACTCGCTCAGTAGAACCAGGGCACCATTCAACATCAGGAACCCACCATGCCTTGGCCACAGGATGAGCAGTACCAGATATGGTTTAAGAAGCCCCTTTGCCATTGCCTCACTTGCCAAGGCCTGGCACTGGCATATGCCCAGGGAAGAGGTGTGGTAGACCCTGAGGGCTCCTGGGGCAGATTTGATTTTGGCCATCCATAGGACCTCTCATTATGACATCCATAGTGATTTCTGGGGAAGTGTCCATGGTGTGGGTCTCCATGTCGATGGGATTTATTTGCTGATGGACAAGCTGGGGGAAGCCTTCCTACTCCATCCCTGGTAGACAAGTATGAAGTAATGCAAAATCCAGGGCTGCCCGAGACTCCAGGCATGGCTGGTGTTCAGCACATCCATCCTTCCCTGGTAGACCATTATGCTTCTCTGCATCTGAGCCTTATTCTCACATCTGTGTCCCGCTGTCCCTATGTGTGACATTGGCCATGGGGAATCTGGCCCATTTTACTGTGGCTGCCTTCACCCAACGGACTTCTCAATGGGGTAGAATGCTATAGTTCTGCCTCCCAACACAGACAAGCAGGAATCAGTGTCGCGACGTGTTTAAACAAGAAGGAGATAGGAGAGGGTCATGGATGAGGCGAGTGTGGCAGTTCCATGGGAAAGAGCGGGGGGGGGGGACAGGAGTTTGGCCTCCTCAGGTGGGGGCAGTCACCTGATGAACACTTCCAAGGACTTAGCTCAGCCATTAAAAGAAGATGGGCATCCGAAAGATTTCACCCCACTTCTTACCCCATGGCTAATATCAAGGTGGATGAGAACTGCATGGGGCAGTGTGCTCCAACAAGACAGTGTTTGGGGATATGAGTCTTACACAAAGGATACAGACAGACACAGGTCTAACCCCAGCTAAGTAACCAAGTCAACATTTAGGACTCCAGATTGATCTGCTTAAATTCCTGTGGGAGCCTAGACGAGAAATTCTGGTCTGCTCATCAGTCTTGGCAGGTAATAAACAGGCCTCAACCCCAGGCATACACAAGTCATAAGCTGAGGTCCTGGGATAGGTCACCTTAAGCCCTGCAGGGAAGGTGACTGGGAACACCCAGTCATGCCAGCAAGCAAGAGGGAATTACAGGTGTGACCTGAAGTGTGGCTGGACTGGTTTCAAGCCTGCGACCTGCCCCTGGAAAACCGGTTCCATTTTT